TTTGCAACATGATACTATACAAATGCTAAGAATCTATTCATAAACTTTAACTAACTCAAGTTATTATTTTTCTCTCTCAATGTTGTTCTTAAACTAAAGTAGAAAATAGCTACAATATCCTTATGATGGAACTACAAATCCAAGCAGTCTCTGCCTAAAGCCAATGTAAGTCTTGGGCTCATGGTCATAATACTGTGATCTTTAAGGGGAAGCATTACACACACTATGCACACACTAGACACTCTACACAACATCACAAGCTATGAAGAAACACAGAGAGGCTAAAGTTACCTGGAGTCCAAAGAGCTGGCATGGATGGAGTCAAGAGGATGTCAGACACGCAGCTACAGTCCATACTTGCTTCTGTAGGAGGGGGGAAGGAAGGAGGAGAGGGGGCAGGAGAGGCAAAGATCGAGCAGTTGAGAGAGGAATATATACAAGACAGTCAGGTAGATGAAGAACGATTATCAGGCAAATAAGAAGTTGAAGGAGGAAGGTGAGATGAAGTGGGAGGGGGAAGTGTAAAGTGTAGACAATGTAGAAGAATGAAGTTGGGTGGAAAGGGTACATCAGGAAAAATCCAGGAAATGGAGGTGATACGATGACAGGGAAAGGGAATGAGGAGGAGGATTTTAAATTGAGGAAGATTAAGTGATGAACAGATGAAGATAAAAAAAGTGAGCAAACAGGTGTGCAGGAGGAGGTGACACAGGAATGAGATAGAGATATGAGGATGTGATACAGTAACAAGGTAAAAAGGTAAGGATGTGACACCAGCGGGAGATCCAGAAAAGACAAGAAGTAGCACAGGTGAGGATGAAAAGGTGATGCAGGCAGAAGGTTCAGAGAAGACAAGGAGGTGACACCAACAGCAGGTCCAGACAGAATTGGGAGGACGAGTAAGTGGCATAGGCAGGTGAGGAAGACCAGGTAGCACAGAAGTGTGATTCCATGATGAACAGAAATAAATATGTAGAAGCAGGGAAGAAGAAATATATCCAGGTGAAGAACAAGAGGTGAAAACACATTGGAATGTTCAGAGAGGGTGAGCAGTACACAGGGGAGGAAAACACGGTGGAACAGATAGAAGATTCACAATTCAAGAAGACAAAGTCACAAGTCACAATCAGGGTGATTAGGAGCAGTGAAGAAAGGATGATGAAAGGAAATGGGCAGGGAAATAAGATAAGGAAAACAAGTGGAAAAGAAGCAGAAAAAAGGTATTAGGAAAGACGGATCAAGCTTTCCCTGAACCCCACACATACCACAAACTGAGACCTATACACATTGCAGCATCATATACACACCTTATATAAACACTGCATGCAACGTAACTAAAATACAATTCAACTTCCCTTTTTATTCTCTACATTATAAAGCCACGGCAAACTTTACACGTGTGATATTAAATCTACAACACATACAGATACCAGAGGCAGATACATGCATATTTGGTGATAGATGGATAGATAGATAGATAAATAGATAGATAGATAGATAGATAGATAGATAGATAGATAGATAGATAGATAGATAGATAGATAGATAGATAGATAGATAGATAGATAGATAAAAGGAATAGTATATAAAGAGAAAAAGAGAGAAAGAAAAAGGAGAAAGAGAAAAAGGGAGAAAGAAAAAGGAGAAAGGAAGAAAGAGTGATGGCTATGAGATAGATAGATGATAGATAGGACAGACAGATAAGATAGATAGATAGATAAGATAGATAGAGATATGATCGCCTCCCCCACAACTCATAAAACACATCCTGTTACTTCTTGTGCAAATAACAACTTGATAATATAGCGGGAAACAAACTATCTTGCTCTTTCAGAGCCAGTAGCAAGAAGCAGACCCCCTTCCTTCTTTCCTTCTCCTCTCACCCCCCCTCCTGTGCTTGATCTTTTTCACCGAGTCTTCTGTGCTCCCCCCCCCCCCCCTTCCCCAGCAGCCCCCCGGCTGTCTAAGTCAAGCCAAAGCCAGATAATGATCAAGCAGAACAGCAGATGGGGTGCAGCAGAAAAGTGGGGCCCTAGGCATAGTTTGTGTTGTTTTCGCGCCTCTTGTGTGACATGCAGGTTGGGGGGTGTAGCGGGGAGGGTGAGGGGATTTGTGCAAGGCCCTGGTTCTCCTTCCTAGAGGAATCTATAGGAAGCAACACTACCTTTCTTTGAAATCTCATCTACCAGTGTTAATTCTCCTGCTACATCCACCTTTCTTCTCAGCTCTGGATGCTTATATTATTTATTTATTTACTTCTGTCATTTTCTGGCTGCCGTTCCTCCATTGCTTTCAAACTTCTTCCTTCCTGGGTGAGTGTGCGCAGCCGCTTCTCTGGCACATTCCAGAACGCAGTGCCACACGTAAAAGTTAAAAAGGGAATTTCTGGTTCACCTGCAGATTTATCCGGTACCTTCTTCATGATTACAGGGTAATGATGCAAATTCAATTTACTGCAGCTCCTCCAAGTGTTTCCTTTTTTTTTGCCTTGTTTATTCTTGATGGAACACCTCAATCACAGTTGCTTGAGCTTAAGGCTTAGCAGCGGAAACCCCTCACAGGTCTTGATGTTATCTCTCCACTTGTATGTTTGACTCTGTTTTTGATTCCTAAGGACTGACTAGGCAGAGGAAAGGCTACTGATGACAATACAAATGGATCCCTGGTGTGTGATTCATATCCTATTTATTTATTACAGGTATTTACATAGTGCCAACAATGTACGCAGCGCTTTACATAGTTGCACATTCATATCAGTCCCTGCCCTCAAGGAGCTTACAATCTAAGGTCCCTATCTCACATGCATACAGGGCCGATTTAGACAGGAGCCAATTAATCTTCCAGCATGTCTTTGGAGTGTGGGAGGAGACCGGAGTACCTGGAGGAAACCCACGCAAGCACTGGGAGAACATGCAAACTCATTGCAGATAGTGACCTGACCAGGATCTGAACCGCTGCAAGGCAGAAGTGAATGCTCAATCTCCTTTCCATAAACTTCAGAAAACTAGTGAAAGCATTGTAAAGTTACTTTGCATATACCAACATAATTAACTTAAATTAATCTCAACCCAAAATAATCCAATAGCAAGTTGGCACCAGTTACAGCCTATGATCATGTGACCACATTTGCTTTCAACCATAAGGAATATCTGGCTCGCGTTGCTCAGGAGATGGTGTTCCTTTAACATCTGGCTGCCAGCAATAAAGAGAACTTTGTCAGCAGGGTGACCTGGGCGCCCTACAGCTACGCCGAAAAGCAGAAGCTGCTGCGGCAGGCTAGGTTTTAAATTCTGAATGGAGTTGCTCTTTAATTCAGCCAGCCTTTCCAGGCGCCACACAGTCCCAACGTGCCGGCCCAGTCGGTTTGTCTTCATTAAGGGGCCTGTTTGTTTCTCTCTTTCGTGTCCCCCTCCCGGCTCCAATTTTCGAGCGGAGGAGCCAGAAAGCGGGCGAGCTGCTGGGACGGACGCAGCAGATAAATAAGAAAAGGCAGGAAGAAAATAGATAACCCACTAGAGAGACGGAGAGGGAGCGCGTGCCGGAAAAGAGAGGCCAGAGATAGTGGGAGCGAGGGAGAGAGAGAAGCGATACGCCAGATAGCGGACACCCAGCGAGAAAGCACAAACCCTCTTCAATTTGTGAGAAAGGAACTCGAGCTAAACTTCCCCCAGGTGTAATTTTACTGTAAATTGCAGCAGACGTGAGTTGCGGTAACACGCTGGGGTTTTTTTAAATGTTTTTTTTCACGTTGTCATGACAATGTAGTAGTTCCAGAAAACAGTAAACATTGTCATACTTGCGCAATAATAATAATAATAATGTACGCGTGTTAGAGATGCAACATGCCTCGGGAGTCATTTCAGCACTCTAGCATTGGACAGCTCCTTTCGGAACACAGGCTTTGATCCAGGAGCTGTCCAGGTGCTGAAAGTCTTACAATGCCTCTTTGGACTTGTAGTTCCACAACAGACAGAGGACTGCGATTTGGTTATCCCTGATGTAGAATATTGTAGCTCTGTGTTCAGCAAGGGCATCAACTGCATAGTGCACAGGTAGGCATCCTCGGCACGCATGTTAGAGATGTGACACACCTCGGGGTCATTTCAGCACTTCAGCATTGGACAGCTCCTTTCAGAACAGAGGCTTTGATCCAGGAGCTGCCCATGTGCTGAAAGTCTTCCTGCGATGCCAGGGCTAGGCAACCTCGGCACTCCAGCTGCGGGGAAATTACAAATCCCGTCATGCCTCTGGGAGTCATGCCTGTGGCTGTCAGAATCTTGCCATGCCTCATCGGACTTGTAGTTCCACAAAAGCTAGAAGACTGCAATTTCACTACCCCGGCTTTAAAGCATTGTAGCCCTGTGTTCAGCAAGGGCATCAACAGCATAGACGAGAGGTAGGCATCCTCGGCACCCATGTTAGAGATGCAACACACTTTGGGAGTCATTTCAGCACTCGACAGCTCCTTTCAGAACAGAGGCTTTGATCCAGGAGCTGTCCAGGTACAGAAAGTCTTCCACCATACCAGGGCTAGGCAGCCTCAGCACTCCAGCTGTGGGCAAACTACAAATGCCGACATGTCTTTGCCTCTGGGAGTCATGCCTGTGGAGTCAGAGTCTTGCAATGTCTCATGGGACTTGTAGAGCCACAACAGTTAGAGTGCTGAGGTTGCCTACCCCTGTTCTATAATCATTCTCAGGAATCGTATAAAACCCTATTTACACCATAGACAAAACTGAACCTTTGAACAGAACATACAGTACAAGCTGGCAGTAGGGGGTATAGAAGGCTCTGCAAGGTACGAATCCATTGCATTACCTTGTTAAATTCTTACTGTGTAGTACAACATGTCCCAGTTTTATCATTATTCCAGAGCTTATCCAGCTACCTCTGAAATGCTCATCACACCCTTAGAGCCCATTCACACCAGATGCGTCACTGCTGCGCTTGCCCAGGACAGTCCCGACACATAGGCAAGGTGGCATGCAGCACTTTTCTCAGGGCAAATCATGGGGCTGTGGTGAAGATGTGACATTTCAATAAAGTTTGAAAGTTAATGGGCTTAGGGTGTTGGCACAGTTCCAGCGCATACCAGTGGCCATGTGTTTAGCATGGCTGGCTGGTGTGAACAGCCCTGAAAAGAAATGCCTAAACCAGTAGTAGGCAAGGTTGGCTCTCCAGCTGGGGTAAAACCACGAATCCGATCATGCCATTGCCTCAGACTGTCAGTTTTGCAATGCCTACCCCTGGTCTAATCCCTAACTGAATTGTGTTAAGTTTGTTAAAGCAATGTGTATCACAAACCGTTGCCCTTTTTTATTTTTGAAAATAAAATATACCCTTTGTTTCATCATTCACAGGG